CCAGCCCCACCGTGGCTGTGCCCTACCAAACCCTGCAGCCTTGCAGATGAGCCCTCGGCTACCAGCCTGCTGAGTGAGAAGACCCAGCCCAGCACCCAGCCCCCCCGGCCATGGACTGAGCACAGCCAACGCTCCACAACCCCCCCCCCCCCGCCCACTTCTTCCCCAACGCCCCCACTCTTGGGTAGACACACCCTTGCCAGGCTGTGCCTATGATGCCATCTGCCACAAAGACTAAGTCTCAAATCCTGCCTCCTCCCCGGGTGAGGAGGCATTCATGGCCCGTTCCAACCTTCCATCCCTCCGACGTCTCTGAGAAAGATTTATCCGCCCAGCCAACTCCTACGCATCCTCTGAGACCCTGCTCAGATGTCCCTCTTCCAGGAAGCCCACCAGGCAGAGTCCTTGCTCCCACCCTGGGTCCCCCGTGTCTCTGTCCAGTCCTGATGACTGGCTGGAGGCCTTGCCTGGACAGGGAGCCACCTGAGAGTAAGGAAAACCTCTATGTTCGCAGCATCGCTGGGCACAGGGAGGACCGTGGAGATGGCTTCTGGGAGAGGGAGGACGGAAGGAGGCCACCTGCTGAGAGCCGAGAGGACGGTGGAGACGGGAGCAGCACAGGCTGGGCGGGCAGGGAAGGCAACGGAGGCAACCCCAGAGCCTTGGGGCGCGGGGCTGGGCTCGCCCTCTCCCCCTTCCCTGCATGTTCCCCTCCTTAGCGTTTACCGCAATCTTTCAGGCTATCATTTCTTTTTTTTTTTTTTTTGATTTCTGAAATATGCAATTTTATTGTTTATGAGTTCTTACAGCAAATTATGCATTAAGGGATACCTTTAAAATGAGGTAAATGCAACCCTGCCAAAATAACCCACTTATCTGAAAGGGCATGCTAATAATCAATGGTAAAAAATAAAAAATACCTGACACAGAACACCCACAATCTCATAAGCAGCCAATTCCAAACCTCCCAAATCCAAAAGTCACAACATTACTTCACTGTCCTCTTTGGGTCCCTGTCAGCTTGTTCAGAGTTATCCAGGCAGGAATGGGCACCCAAAATCTATTTTCCTCTTAGTCTTCCCATAGAATCTCCAGCTACTGTTGTCATCAAAGACTTGAGAAGCCATCCCTGAAATTATTCTGGGAGAGTGAGGGTGGATTCTGTGTTCTTCAGAGGGGAGTATTTATTAGACAAAACCAACCTTGTTCTTGCCAATAGACAGGCTATCATTTCACTAAGCATCCACCAATTTATATATTTGAGCCATCATCTCCTGCTCATTGCCTCTCCCCCCAAGAGAAGGTCAGCTCCTTGCAAATAGGGATTTGGGCCTTTTTTGTTCATTGCGTATCCTTGCTGCTTGCACAGGGCAGTTGCTCAGCAAAAGTTTGTAGAATGGATGAATGGATGAATGGGCAAAGGTGTTTGGGCTCCAAAGAGCTCAGAGTCAGAATTTGGAGGCACCCCCCCCCCCCGAAGAACAGGGAACTGGGAAAAACAGGGACCCCAGGAGGAGACCAGGGAACAGAAGCTCCAGGAACCGCACGGTGTTCCCTGGAGGTGGCAGGGGCACTTGTCTCCGCCTTTCAGCTGGGAATTCACCGAATTCTCAGAAGGGGTCCGCATTTCATAAAGGGCCAGTCCTAGACATTATCTTGGCTCTATTTTCAAAGAGAGAAACTGAGGCCCGAGTGACAGCAACCCCCATTGTAAGAGCAGGTCCCCTCACGGAGGGAGGGTCTTTGCCCCACTGAGCCCCCAGCACATAGCCCCCTCAGGGCCAGCCCAGCCACCTCCCCATCCCCTTGTCACTCACCGAGGCTGAAGAGGATGAGGAACTTGAGGCAGACGAACTCCTGGCGGTCCAGCTGCAGCGCGTGCAGCTGCAGGACAAGCTCCTGCGCCCGCAGCACCAGGCTGTGCAGCAGGGAGCCGGCCTGGGCGGCCACCGTGCTCAGCTCCACCTGGGCGGGCAGACCTGGGGTCAGGGCGGCGGGCACGGGGCAGGAGCTCGCATCAGGGACTGGGGAGGGCATGGTGGGAGGCCTCTGGTGGAGGCTGGGGGTCCGTGTGCCCAGCCGTGGAGCTGTGCCAGGCGGGGCAGCCTCTCCACAGGCCCCAGGAGCCCTCCCAGCCCCAACACCCAGCGCCCGAGCTTCCCCGCCCTCCTCACACGCCCGGCGAGCTCAGGGCCCTGTAGCAGCAGAGCTGACACCGGGCAGGTGTGTGCAGAGGGAGATGAAGGGTCCTTCATGCACAAAGGCCTGCTGCCAGGCCCAGGGTGTGCGCTGCTTTTGTGTTTTGTGTTGTGTCTGCAAGCGAATGCCACCTTGTGCCGGGCGTGGGGGCAGGTCTGCCTGGACACACGTGGGTGGGGCCACATGGCTGCCTGGGTCCCACACGCCCACCCTCGGCTGGGGAAGGGGCCTCAGCTCACCTTCACACACACTCACAGGGTCATCCACTCACTTCACGAAGTGAACACACATACACACACACACACACCCCGGTATGGTCACATCAGGGCAACACAGACAGACATGCCCATGTCTGTGTTCCCACTGACATGGTGACAGGCAGATCTTGATACCCACACATTTATGTGCGTGGAGATATTTGCACAATAAAATACAGGACATTCCCACGGCCTCCGAGACTTCCACCTGCGTGCTGACACGTCCGACACACTCACACTCACACTCACACTCACACTCACACCTCAGACTCTTCATTTGCATTCACAGGTGGCCCCAAGCCACGCCCGTGGGACCAGCATTCCCCTGGCCTGACACCCGGGGGGAGCACTGAGGACGGGGACAGAAGGACCAGGGCCTGGGGTGGAGGCAGGGGGGGGGGGGGAGAGGGCCCGTCTCCCACCCCCACAGGAGCATCTGGGAAGCCTGCTCCTCCTTCCCTCTGCCCCTGCGAGGTGCTCCGTCCTCCGCCAGGCTAGGCCCTTCTTCCTCCCTCCGTCCTCCTCCTCTCACCAGCTGGCCATCCTCCTCCTGGAACGGTGCCCGCCAGGTGCCCAGCATCTGAGCAGTGGGCACTGCCTCACTTCCTCACCTCCCATCTTACCCTCCCCCCCATGTGCCTCTCACACCTGGCTGTGTCCTTCCCCACTAGAATCTGTCCCCTTGTTCCCCACTCCATCTCAGGAGTGTCTATACCCCGGGCTCCCATCCTAGTGCCAATTCCCTGCTCTAGGGGGGCCCAAATCTGACTACGGCTCTTTGGGGCCCAGACCCCTCTGCTCGTTCATTCATTCATTCACTCACTCACTCACTCACTCACTCACTCAGGATTTAGGGCCTGCAAAGTCTTGCCCAATCTAGCCCTTAGCAACCTCTCCAGCCTTATCTCTTACCTTGTGCCCCACCCGCAGGGTCCCCCAAACCCACAGTCCAGCATACTAGTGGCTTCTGGGGGATCAGGAGTTCCCAATGTTCCTCTCAGCCTTTCCCCATGCTCTCCCCTCTGCCTGTGTGGAGGTGGGGGTATCCCCCAATACCTTTTACTACCTGGTACCACCAAGACCTGGAACCACCATCACCTCCTCCTAGAGTCTCCCCAACCCTCCCAACACCCCAGAGCTGCTTCCCCCAGAGCAGGGCTCCCAGAGGCTGCCTCCTCTCAAGGCCACGGCGAGGGCCGGTCAGAGGGAGGTCAGACTGGGGGTATCCCATGAACTTGGGGAAATGGGCTGATATTCAGGGTGCCCAGGGCCAGCCCTGGAGAGGCCTGGGACCTCCTGTGGGCCCGGAATCCTGGGAGTGCACAGTGGGCTGGGGCAGGGCACCGTGTCGGTCACCTCCTGCCCGATGACCAGCAGGATGCTGTCCTCCTTGCCGTGCTGGATCTGGCGGTAGATGTGGTCGAACACCAGCAGCTCGCTCCAGCAGTTCTGCAGCAGCGTCATCTGGTCGGCCACCTGCAAGGAGGCGGCGCACGGGGTCTGCATCCAGCATGGCCTGGCAGGGGACCTTCCTCTCTCCCCTCCTCCTCCAACTCTCAGTGCTGAGGCTCAACTGGGTGTGTGACCTGGGCAAGCGGCTCAACTTCTCTGTGCCCCGTCTGCCCACCTGTCTGCCTCATCAAAGTGTGGCAGGGCTCTAGCAAAAGAATAGGAGGGTCCGGCTGCAGGCCCCAGCTCTGCCTCTTACAAGTTCTATGACCTTCAGCAAGTTCTGTAACCTTTCTGGGCCTCAGTGGTCTCATCTGTAAAATGGGCAACGTATTAGGAAGCGGCCTGGCACACAGCACTCAGTCAATGCTGGTGCGCGTAGCCACAGGAGCGCTTTGAGAAGGACTCATTCAAATGCAAGGGAAGAGCAATATTAATTTGAACTTGTGCCCATCTGGCCTGTGGTCACATCTCTAAGAGCTCCAATCACTCATGAAGAGTAAACAGAGGGATTTCCCTGGGCCTTGAGCAGAGCCCTCGGGCTCAGGACAAGAAAGCAGGGCCGTCGGCCCCGCCCCGGGAGTGATCGGTAGATGGCAGAGGTCTGACCGCCGAGCAGGAACAGCACAGACTGTAAACACTCAGGCTGCGGTCGGACACTCAGTGCAAGGGCGGGGACTGCCCTGGGCAGCGCCCCTGTGCTCTGGGGAGTCATGCATTCAACATGGCCAGAGTGGACACTCATAGCTGGGGGGTGGGACTCAGAGCCACGTGATGAGAAAGCCAGGAGGGATGCCCTGATGTAAACCTCCTGGAGAGGGTGAGGGACCCTCCTGGGATCTCAGGCCAGGGCCATAGCTGCTGCTCTCAGTGCACTGCTCCCCACAGTGACAAATACTGAGCCCTCCTGGCCGTTCAGAGCCGGCACTGGGGCTGTAGGTCACCTTAGGAAGACACAGCACAGACCCCGGTCCCTCTCAGCCTCTGCAGCTCACCAGCCAGCCACCATCGACCAGCAGATACCTCTGGGCACCTTCCTGGGTGCCGCCCTAGAGCGAACACAAACCATGATAGCTGACAGCCGCTGGACTGCAGCTCCACACCCTGAGGTTGGTGTAGCTGTTGTCCCATCTATGGAGGGAGGTATGAGCCCACAGGTGTCCAGAGGGTCACACGGCTCTGTCTGGTTGCAGATGGTGCTCCTAGCCACCCAGCATGGACTCAGACCCGCCCTTGCCACCCAGGGTTTCATGCCGGCTCTTTGCCTCCCCCAGGAAGCCCTCATCAATCCTTCCTCCTTGCTCGGTGCCCTCACCGTCCTCTGGGTGTGGCACCTGCCACATCTGATGGCATTATTCATGCCTCTGTTTCCCCGGTACCTGTGGGACCTGGGAAGGCAGGACTGGGCCCCCAGAGGAGGCGTCAATGAGCAGTTGATGGACAAGCATGTGCTCCCCAAGACAGCCACAGAGGAGCCACCCCAACCCGGAGGCCAGAGGGGCCAGGCAGCCCCTGGCCTGAGCTTTCTCTTCTGTGGGGTAGAAGCCCCTCCTCCTCTGTTCCCCTCCTCTCCTGGGGGCAGTCCTGGGCAACACGAAGTGGGCAAAGAGCAGAGCGAGCAGCAGGACACACAGCCAGGCCCCCCTGCCCGCCCTTCCCCAGCGCGCACGGCTGAGGACACGGCTGAGGACACGGCTGAGGACACGGCTGAGGACAGGAGGGGGTCAGTCTCTGTCCTGCTCTGTGTCCCCAGCCTCCCAGCCTCCCTGCCTCATCCCATCTTCACGTCAAGAACACAAACTTCTCTCTCCCCTCAGGACCAAGTTCTTCCTAGAGCCCCATTACTGTCAGATCAGGAACCCAGCCAGGGGTCCCCCTGCTCAGCCACAGCTCGCCTGGGCGTCAGAGGCCGGGGAGATGGAGAACCAGGTGAGGGTGAAGCAGGAAACCTCCTTGTCTCGCCTCCTCTGTCCTCCGCAGGGGCCAGGCCCAGAGAGCTGGCAGGAGGCCTCCCCACCCACCCCAGGGAGGAGGCAAGACTTGGCGAGCGCCTACGACCAGGCCCCGACCCCGGCTGAGCCGGGACCCCTCACCCCTGCCCTGGCAGCATTCGGCCCCTATTCCAGAGAAGGACACGGAGGCTCGCTGCGGGCAACACGGGGAGCTGGGTTCTGCCCAGATGCCCCCGAACTGGGCTCATCTTGGGAGGGGGAGGGGGCGGGGAACTGCCTGAGGCCCAAGTAGCTGGGACCAGCCCAGGAGTCACACTGGCCCAACCTGGTGACCCCGTTGGAGGCAGAGGAGAAGGGAGGACATGCAGGGCTGGGCTCTGCCTTACCCATGGGGCCCTCGGGAGCAGACACCCTTGTGCCTGGATAGAAGGAACAGGGGGTGGGAAGAGGGAAGAGCGAGAGATAAGGGGGAGAATTAGGAGATAAGCGGGCTGAGCCCCGGGCAGAAAGCAGCAGGGGTCACCGTGACCCGCTGGCCAAGCCCTGCAGCAGACTCTGTACCCAGACCTCAGGCCCCGGGTGGGGGTGGCCCTGCCCAGCGGGGTGATAGGAGCTGCAGGGGCGCAGGCGGGCAGCACGGTGGCTAAGCTTTGGCGCCCAGCGCCCTCTGAATGACTTCCCACCGGGCCACCCGTCCGTCTCTGCGCTGAGTTCCCAGCTGCTTTGGGTCAGAGAAAACGAGCGGCCGCAGTGACACCGGTCGGAGGGCTCTGGGGGCCACGGCGGTGCCCCCAGCCGAGCAGTCGTTCCTGCCAGACTCTTCACTCGCGCTTCCCCCCACGGACAGATGGACACATAAAGACACCAACCTCCCCACACAGAGGAACACACACACTCTTCTTTTTCTATTAAAATAAAAACACGAGAGGCCGCAGCCGCCAGCCCCTCTCCATGGGAAAGCAGGTGGCTAAGAGGCTCACTTAACCAAAGAGGGCTGGTTTCACCTTCCACAAGTTTCTCCCGAAGCAAAAGGCTCCTCCTCTGCCCCAGTCCGCCCTGCCGCCCTGCGAACAAGGCGTTTGCCGCCCAGGCCCCGGGGTCCCTCGTCAGCCTGGCCTGTCGCCCGGCCCGCCACCCCCTGTCCCTCCTGCTGTCGGCCACAAATCTTCCTGGAGCCTTGACACTTGCAGCCTGCCTCGGAGACGGGGTATTTATGGGTGCAGAGCTGACCTCCCTCCCAGCAGGCCCCCCTCCGGAGCCCCCCGGGGTCCGACCGGTCTGGCGGCCGAAGGCCAGCGGGCTCTGTAATTCTCCAGCGGCTGACATGCCACGGGCGGGCCACGGCGCTCTCCGGCCCAGTGGTCGGCGGGCCCGCCGTTTGTCAGTCCAGGACTGACAGAGTTATGCCGCTTAGATGAAGCCATATATCTGAGCAGTGAAACCTGTTGCCAGTCGGGGCCTCGGAGCTGGATGTCGGGGTGAAGTGATGTCGAGATGGGTCATTAGGCGCTCCTGGCCCTCGCCTCCCCTCGCTGATTCCTATCTTGCATCCTCCCAGCCTGTCCTTCCTGGGAGCTGTCCAGACAGGCCGGCCGGCTGGGCCTGCGCTCTGCCCCCCACTGAGCAGCAGGTACAGGTGGGTTTCCGCTACCTGGCCAGGGCCAGGTGGGCCCCATCTCCTCCCGGAACTCTAGTGCCCAGGGAGCATGGTCTCCAGGTGTCTCCCCACGCTTCCTACACCAGGCCGTACGCCACCTGCACGCACCCAGTGAATCACGGAGCAGCAAAGAAGCCAGTCAGGAGGGGAACGCCGCTCCCTGTGCTAAATGCTCTACCCTCCTCGCTCACTAAGTCCTTACAACAGCCCTCCAGGGTGGAATCTGTTTCAACTCTCCCCGTTTCACGGATAAGGAAGTGGAGGTCCGGAGGAGTAAAGTGACTTGCCCAAAGCCACACACCTGGAAAGTGGCAGAGCGGGGACTTGAACACAGGTCTCTCTGATTCTGGCTGTCGCTATTCACGTCAGTGCCACTGTCAGACCTAACAGGCCCTGATGTGTGAGATGGAAAAATGGAGGCAGAGGGACATCCAAGCTGAGAGACAGGATGGAGGAGGAGAACCCCAAAGGGGCATCTGGAGCCCCAACATCTGAGCCCCCAGCACCCCTGACAGCGCAGCCAAGACCCAGGCCTTCGCTAAACATGGGGACGTCATTAGCTTCACAGAGAGCTGAGTGGCCCCGGGGAAGAGGGTGTGGGGCTCCAGCCAGCCTGGCCCATCACCCACTGGTCCAAGCTCTGCTTCTGGCCCTGCCAACCTCTCCAGCCCCGCCTCACGGTCCCCCTGGAGCTCCCTGACACAGGATGCCTTCCCACGCGCTGGGCCTTAGCCTATGTGTTCCCACTTGCTGAAATGCCTGCACCTTCTCAGGTGTGTTCTGCAAAAGCACGGACCAAAGAAACCTTCCCTAACTTCTTTAGGGCGTTCCACTCTCCCGCTGGGCTCCCTGGGCCCCTTTCCATTGCTCTCAGGGCCCTGGGCACCCTGTGTGGGCATCATCTGCATGCACATCTGTCTCCTCCTCTAGTTTGGCAGCCTCCTGGGTCCAAGGTGCCCAGCGCCCAGGTCAAGGGCTGCCCGGCTCTCAGAGCTAGGGAGCCCCCTTTGCTGTCTGCTGAAATGTATCCTGCCTGGAGCCAGGGGGATGCACGGTCGGCCAAAAGGGAGGACAGGTCACTCAGCAACCCTCCCACTTCTCTGCCTCCCCTCCTGTGGGAGGTGGCCCAGTGGGAAACGAGGTCTTTGTGGCAGCTGAGGGGCCCCCTAAGGGCTGGGCTGGTACGTATCTGCAAGGCTCCCTTACAGAGGGTGGGGACCATGGTTCAGATTCCTGGGCTCAATTCAGAGACTCTGGGAAGGGGAAGCAGGAAGGTTTGGACCACAGAGAAGCCAGAAGCAGGAAAAAACACTCAGCAAAGCTGGGACAAAAGCCCTTCCCATCCTGCGTGAAAACCCCCGAGAGACTAGGAAGGCGGCCAGAGGAAGTGCCCTGCCCCTGGATCCAGGGTTCTGGAAGGCCGGGAATGCTCCGCTCCTCCTCCCTTCTGCACAAGGGGCTCATGGGAGGTCTGGCCACCAACCCAAGGGTCCTGGGATCCTCATCCCCACCAGGGCCTCCAGCCACGAGTAGCAGGCAGGTGGGGTTGTTCAAGGCCCTGTCTCTTGTCCCATCTATGAGGGCAGCCCAGACGGGAGGCAGGGGTGAAAGACCCATCCACCCATGACACCTGGCATGTCCCCAGGCCTCAGCCAAGTTAGGCCCTTGGCTATCGAATCACTGCCGGTTCTTGACTCCCAGAGTAACCCAGGCCCTGGCCCCATGATGCCTCAAGGGCTCCGTGCCCATCCTCACCTAATTGCCCCCCCCCCCCGCCCCTATGCCCAGCCCGGCAGGCAGCGCCCCGGCCCATCCGGCCACCTGCCCCTGGAGGAAGCCCAGGCCTGAGTGGCGTCAGCACTGAATGCTGCTCAAGGCTGCCGTGGCCCCAGCAGGGAGGGCGACGGGTCCTGCTGTTTACACCCAGCCCCGGAACAGCTAGGAGGGCCGGCCTGGGCAAGGCCAACACCAATAGGCCTGAGCTATTGGTGCCCAGGCCAGGGTGTCGGGCCTCGGCCGGATTTGGGGTGCCTCTGAGGTTGGCAGCACACTCTGATCATAGGGAGTCAGGGTGCTCGAGGGGCAGCGGCCAGGCCGTGGGCCCTTCAAACCACTAGGCAAGGTGACTGGCAAGTTCTTCCTCGTCTGGCTCCAGTTTCTCCTGCCGCTTTAGCTGCAGGTACCTCAGCCCAGGGGGGTGGAGGGCTGAGCAGTGGAGGAAGCCGGCCTCCTCTGGGTTGTGCAGGCCCTGCAGTCTCCACCTGCCCTCTCACTCGCCCCCCCCCCCCCCACACACACACAAACACGCAGATACACATACACATGGGACCGACCACTGTGCACGAGAGAGGCAGGGACAATAAGCCCCTTCACCTTGGCTGGGAATCAGGCCCATGAGCATTCCAAACTCCGAGACACTGAGACTCCCACCTATGACATCTGAGGCTGGCGGGGATCGGTGGCTTCTCCAAAAGGAGAGACAGGGCGGGGTGGACCCTCTCCCTGACGCTGCGCTGGGGCAGCCTGAGACCGTCTCCCAGGACTCCGCTAGCCCTTTGGGAGCCGAGGGTCTCAGAGGAAGGGAGATCAGTGCCTGTAGAGACCCAGACTAGGAGAGAAAAAGACAGGGAGACAAAAAGAGCTGGAGAAACATAGAGAAGCAGAGAGAGCACACCCAGGAGAGGGAGAGAGAGAGGGAGAAGGAAAGAAGGAGAGAGAGAGGCAGAGATAAAAGAAGCAAAGGCTGTGAAAGATAGAGACTCAAAAAAACAGAGGAGAGAGAGGGAGGAGAGGAGTGGGGAGGCAGGAAGGCTGCAAAGGACCAGAAATGCTCCTCACGCCTCCTGTTGCCAGACAGGGCCTTAGCCAGTGGCAGGACGGCCCCCTCCCAGGGGTGACCGAGACTGAGGCTTGAGCAGCCAAGAGGACACCCCAGAGCCAGCTGCCGGGCAGGTGGGATGAGGGACTCACCTCCAGCTCCTTGAAGACCATGCACCTGCGTGCCCAGTCGACGATGGAGATGAAGGTCTGGTCAGCCATCCTGCACAGCAGGCTGAAGGGCGCAGGCTGTTCGGAGCGGCCTTTGGTCGGTTCCTGCAGGCAGCCCAGGATGCGCGCCCGCACCTGGTCCTCATCTGGCTCCAGCTGCAGCAGCTGCAGGATGAGCTCAGGCACGCCAGGCCCTCCGGAGAAGGGCTCCGGGTAGCCATAGGGCGGCCCGGGCTGTGGCGGGCTGGCGTAGGGCTCTGGGTACTCGGACTTGATGGCACGGCCAGGGAAGGTAGGATACAGGTAGCCGGCCAAGGGCCCGTGGGCACCAGGCACGGCCATGGGCAGTGCTGGGGCCCCAAAGTCGCCCAGTGGCCCAGCAGGTGGCCCAGAGGCCAGGCCCTTGGGCTCTGGCGCATGCAGGCCAGGGGGTAGCAAGTAGTCCGGCGGGGGTGGGGGAGGTGGGGGCACCCCCGCTGGGGGGCCTGTCTCCATCTTGAAGCCATTGGCTCGAATCTGTGCCTTCTTCTGCTGCTTCAGGGCCCGGTCCCGCTTGTACATGGGCCCAAATTTGTTCCGGCCACCCCGCATGCGGTCAGCACGGACAGCTGTGGGCAGAGGTGGGGGTCAGGCTCACCCTCTTCAAGCCACCCTCCGTACCACCCACTCCTGGGTCTTTCCCAAACAGATCTGTCTGTGTCACTCCCAGCTCAGTACCCAGTGATGGCTCCCTCTGGCCCTGTTCCCCTTTCTAGGTGGTCCCTCATGAGACCCTGTATTCTTTCCACTCGACCATATTCATCTCTCTGCTCCTCAGCCTGGCACTTCTTCCACCCTCCCTTTGATAGTCCTTTTGCCTCACACCCTTTCCTTCTCATCTGCCTGATGAACACCCAGCCCTCAGGTCACCACCTCCAGGAAGCATTCCTGGATTCGCCCAGGCAGAATCCATTGTCCTAGCCCCGGACGTCCTGCCCCTTGCCCACTCTCATCCTGCTGAGTGGCATCCAGCCATGGGGTCCAGGCTGAGAGTTCCTGGGGGCTTTGCAACGGGTCAGGTCCCCAGCACAGGGACTGGCAGGGAGACAGTGAAGGGAAGTAGGGACTGGACAACTTTGTTCGCAGCTGACGCCAGTATCCAGCTGCTCACTGACTGACTAGTTAACTCGCAAACCCCTGTTGCAAAATGACTCATGTTTGCTTTCAAATTTGAGGCTCCGTTTAGGGCTGTCCAGGCTCTGTGCTGGGGGAAGGGACCTCCCTTGCTGACTTGGTGTCCCGCTGCCTGGCCAAGAATATGTCACCAGCCAGACCTAAAGGTCGCCTCTCTGAAGCTCCAGTGCGGCCCAGCCCCTGCTCGGACAGGGACCCCACCCTGGGCTCTGGGAAGAGGGAGGGAGCAGGAGGGAGAGGTGATCTTGGGGGCCTGCCCAGCCCACCCTGCTGCCAGGGGTGGGCAGCCCTGCTCTGAAACCTCAGGCCCCACCAGGGTTTTCTGCTGCTCACAGCAACCAGCTCTCCTGGCCACTCAGGACCTGGATCTGGGGACATGGGCTTTGGGGACAGGACAGGAGTTTCTCAACCTTCCTAATGCCGCGACCCTTTAATACAGTTCCTCATGTTGTGGTGACCCCCAACCATAAAATTATTTTCGTTGCTACTTCATAACTGTAATTTTGCCACTGTTATGAATTGTCATGTAAATATCTGATATGCAGAATGTATTTTCAGGGGTCGAGACCCACAGGTTGAGAACCGCTGCGTGGAAGACAGTGGTCTGCAGCTCTGAGTCACTAGGGCCCTTCTTCGTTGTTTAAAAACTCTAGCCAACAGCTGCCTGCTGGGCGAACAGCTCAGCTGGAGCCCTCAGGGTGGAAGCCTACGACTGTCCACCCTCAAAGAGCTTGAGTCCTTCCTGCTGAAATGTCTCTCCTCCCCTCTGAACTGAGAGCTGGGGGTGGGGGTGGGGAGATAAGATGGGCCTCGGACCTCTGGGGGCAATGGCTCCCCACTCCCCAGCCCTCTCCAGGTCTGGCTAAAAACATGGGGCACGGGCGCGGGGGGGGGGATCTCACCCGCTGAGAGAATGAACTGAGGAATTGTTGGGATGGACAGGTAGGCTGTATGAATGAGGGCTAAACAGCAATGACAGACAGATAATGACAAAGAACGATAATAATAATAGCAAACCTGTTGAGCACTGACCATGTACCAGGCAGGGTACTAGGAGCCATTCACACAATTCCCTCACACCCATCCAATGAGTCAGGCACTGCTATGAAGCCCATTTTGCAGATGGGGAACCTGCAGTTCAGAGCGGAACTTGCCTAATGTCTGTAAGTGACAGGCTTGGGACTTGACCTCCAGCAAACGAGAGGCTGGAGGCGGTTGTCAGAGCAGGAATTGCAGAACCTTTCGCAGAGGGAGGAGCTCTGCGGGGCTCTGCCCTGTGCTGCTGGGCCCTTTGGGGACCCGCGGTTCACATGCAGGTATTTTTTAACGCAACTCTGGCTGGTCCTGCATACATCCCTCCCCGGCCAGAGCGAGGCCAGTTCTTACCCCTTCCCAAGAGATCGGCTCTAGTGTCCCCCAGGCCCCAGAAACTTTAGGAGGGGCGGTGGCTCCCTCCTTCCCACCCACCCCCACCCGCTCTGCTCTGCTGGAGGTCACGGGTCTGAGGCCGCCTGAGGCGGCGGCGCGGGCGAGCGCACCTTCCAGACGCATCCCCACCGTCAGCACTTCTGGAAGCGGCAGAAGGGACAGCGCTTGCGCTGCGTCTTGTCGATCTTGCAGCTCTGGCTCTCGGGGCACGGGAAGGGCTTTGTTGGTCTCGCACCCGGGCCCTTAAAAAACCCCTGGGGGGAGAGAGGGGG